AACCTTGCTGCTTGCTTGGATTCCTGGAGCAGAGAGAGAAAGGGAACTTTCTCAGGCCTCACCTAAGCATCCACACGGTGCCTCTCCACAGCCACACTCTCTCTCTGCCCAGACACGGCTCCCCCCTCTCTCATGCAGTCCTCAGGAGAGGAAACTGCCTCTTCTAGGAAGAATACCCAGCTAGCAGGAAAGGCTGGGCGTGTAGGCTGGGGGGGACGGAAGGGTACCACACTAAGGAAGTCTAACAGCTGTATACGGAATTTTCAGCCAGCCTCCCGTTTCCGGGCCAAGCTTCACCCACAGCTAACATTTCCCATCCAGAGACATAGTTCTGGGTACTGGGTTCGAGTCAGGAGCTTTTCTTGGCTTTGTAGTTGAAACTTCCTTTGCTCTGCCACCCCCCACCCCATGTAGTTTCCATCTCAAAATCTTGACATTGTTGCTCTTCCTTGTAAAGTGTGTGGTAATTACCTTTATTACTGATGTGTGTGGGGTGGGGAGGGGATTGGGTGTGAGCATGACATGCTTACCTGTGGAAGTCAGAGGCCATCTTGGGGGAGTATGTTCTCTCCTTCTACCATGGAGGTCTCAGGAACAGAACTCAGATTCGGCAGCAAATGCCTTTGCCCACTGAGCCATCTCTGTTTTTGTTTTGTCTCGTCTTAATTACATTTACTTATTTATTTCCCTTCTTAAATCTCCTCTCTGTCTTTTGGGAGTTGTAGTGATTAATCTTTGCTGTCAACGTGACCAGATTTAGAATCACCATGGAAACGCGCCTCTGTGTGTCTATGAGGACATTTCCACCGAGTTTTAACTGAGAAGTGAGGGCTTACTGTGAATGTGGGTGGTACCATTCCGTGGGTCCCAGACGGAATCAAAAGGAGGAAGTGAGCCGGTACGACCAGCTGCTTCCTGTCTTTGTCATCCCACCTTTCCCGCCTTCGAGGACTGTCTCATCTCAAACTGTGAGCCAAAATAAACCCTTGCTCCTCAAGGTCCCTCTTGTCAGCTAGTGACACTGCACAAGCGAAGTGAATTTCTACCATCCTTCCTCCTTGTGGGAGACCTGCTCCCACATTTACGTCCAGGGTACTCTTGAGCAGGGAGAAGTGGGAAATATTCAGATAGAGAGACCTAGATGACAAGGAGAAGAAAGACAGAAACACAGGATCGCCTCGGGAGGACCTGGGTCAAAACCCAATGGCCCAGAACTTTATTCAAAAGGGCTTTTCATAACAATGCCAAGGGGCGAGGCAAAAAGACCTGCCCCTTGCTAGATACAACCAAGTGCAGACCCTTCCAAACACCTGGTACCCAGGCCTGTGGTCCAGTCATCCTCTCAAGCAGCCCTGCTGGTAAAGCAAGCTCAGATCTCACTAGGAAACCTCTGTGGGCTCCAACACCTCCTCTGCTGACTTTTGAGAGACTGGTCAGGTCACAGGCACAAACGGCTCAAGGGTGGTCCTTTTTACTTCTTGTGATGTAACGCACTAAAGGGATAGGAGCAGACTGCATCAGACTGACATTAAGGAAATCACAAGAAAGCACATCCCGAGTGATGATCGTATGGCTGCTTGTCATGTCTTACTCCCCTCTCACAAGAGAAGCCACCCCTACCCTAGGCACCCTGCTTTGACCCAAGCAAGGAACCATGTTGGGCTCTGCTATCTTTGAAGAAGAAAGATGGGCAACAGAAGCAGCCAGGGAAGAGCACACTAGTAGCTCTTTGGACTTGATGTCCTTAGCCTTCTTGTGACCACATCTGAGCCCAGGCAAGCTGCTGACAGAGAGAGGAAACAGGGCAAAAGGCAGGTCTGAGGCTCTCCTGCTCTGGGGGCTGTAGGCAGACTTTTCTTTCTCACCCTCTAGGTTCCAAAAATCTGACACAGAGACTTAATATTAATTACAAATGCTTGGCCAGTAGCTCAGGCTTGTTACTAGCTAACTTTTACATTTAAATTAACCCATATTTCTTATCTATGCTTTGCCATGTGACTTGGTACCTTTTCTCAGTACGACATGCCCATCTTGCTTCTCTCTGCTCTTGACTCTTCAGACTCTGTCCTTCTTCCCCACAGCATTCTCAGTTTGGCTCTTCTGCCTAACCTTATTCTGTTCAGCTATTGGCCAGTCAGCTTCTTTATTAAACCAATCACAGTGATGTATATTCACACAGTGTGAAGGAATATTCCAGGAACCTTATCTGCTGTCACTCTGACTCCTGGATCTGCATCCTAAAGCAAATCCTTGGGCAGACAGGAGTGGGGTGGGGGTGCTGCTTCAAGGGATGGGGACTGGAGAAGGAGGGGCCGGAGGAAGATGACTGACTGCAGATAGAAGGTGGGCATGTGGGAATGTGTCTTCCTCTTGACGCTATACCTTCCCAGGAACATCAGGTGGGCACATTTCACCTACCTCTCTGAGCCCACTTTCTTTTTTTCTTTTTTTTTGGGGGGGGGAGGTTCGAGACAGGGTTTCTCAGTGTGGTTTTGGTGTCTGTCCTGGATCTCTCTCTGTAGACCAGGCTGGCCTTGAACTCACAGAGATCCGCCTGTCTCTGCCTCCTGAGTACTGGGATTAAAGGTGTGCGTGCCGCCCGGCCCACATTCTTTTCTATGCAATGGAGCTTATATTATACTTCCCATCTCGTATGTTATTGTGAGGGTGAAATGAGGTGACTCTTTGCTTGACAAACTATAGGTACTCAACATTGCTTGTGAACATACTAAGAGTGATACTAGAGGCCAAAATCTCCCTGTTCCCCTCCTACCCCTGACCACTGTATTTCTTTCCTCAGGGATGGGAGACTACTCCAGAGGGGTGGAGCCTGGGGTAGACTCATCCCCACAGTGAAAGTGAAGGATGCCCTTACCCTCTAGATGCCTTACCCCCAGGCACTTTAGGATTGAGAGCTCCTGTGCATCTCTGCGTTCAAGTCTTCGAGTTCTGGAGAGGGTCCTGGGAACCCTGGGGACATGTAATATTTTTTCTTTTCAGTTTCCTTTTGCCCTGCCTTTCCTTCAATCTGGAGAGCAGGTTGAAAGTTAAGATTGGAGCCACAGGAAAGCAAAGATCTCTGGTGTCCCATAGAGACCCCAGCCTTTCCAGAGACATGAGGCCAAGAACTGGGAAGCCCAGAATCTTGTAGGTGGTAATTTAGGGTCAAGAGGCATGGGACATAGAATCAGCTCCCCTTTCAGGTGTCTGCTGCAATGGACCTCTGGGCCAGTTACCACAAAGAGCTCAGGATGCACTCGGTTGTGCTGAGAGCTGGCAAGGCCTGAAATGTGGTCAGGGGGCTGACCCACACCCAGGTCACACAGGGACACTCACATGTCCTTGCATGCAGATTCTCTCATCTACTCCAGTTCCGCACAGAGAGGCCTGCTTCTCATAGCAGAGAACTCACTGCACTGTCCTGCCTCTAAAGGGGCAATCCTCCTAGCCTCAACAACAAAGGGGTGGGAAGAGGGAGCCACAGGAGTTTCATAAACACTGGGCTGAGAGCAGAGCTCAGGGACGCATAGTCTTTGATCACCTACAAGCTTCACCAGAAAAAAAGGACTGGAGTCTGTGAGGGAAAAAAAACACTCATGGGAACAGGTGTTGTGTTGATTCCTTTCCATGAGGTACAGCAACACACCCACGCTATTGGGGCGCCCTTTCCAATATCAGCAGTGTCACGATACTGACATGACATGCTTCCACACAAGCTCACAGCAGCTCCTGAAGGGCAATTTCAAGGATAAAGATGGGGATGGGGACAAGTTGTCATGTTCCCATGACAGCCTATTGTGTTGCCATAGCAACACAGCTCTGCCTCCATCCTGTGCTCTCCTGGTTTCTGTGATGAGCAGAACACTGTGGTGCTTTACAGCATGGGGGTGAGGAGACCCTGTAATCCCCGAGGAAGTGGACTAGGGAACCCCAAAGCTCTCAGATTAGGCTGTGGCATCTTGTGGGCAGGAGGGTAGATTTCCTGGGGTTTCCTAATGACAGGCTCTACTCCTTTTCTACCTAGATTTCTACTCCCCAGCTGTTGGGGGGCCCAGGAGTTGACTCAGATGAGAACCTTGTCATCTTAAAGAGGCTGGCAGGTGCAGCTGTGATGGGGGAGGGGAGGAGGAACCATTAGCTCACCGTCACAAGCTTGGACTCCATGAGTCATTGATCTTTTGGGTCCTCAGCATGCGACTATGAAGACCGGAAAAAGACATACCCATGCTGGGGTGGTCCCAAGCAAAGAGCTTTCCTGGGAGAGAAGGATACTCCTGACATCCCTTTCACCTCCATGCCCAGGGGCCAGGCAGCCCTGCAGAAGCCTGGTGATGGGCTCAGGTGACAGTTAACCCGCTGCCAACAGGGCAGTGATTGGCACTAGCTTGCAGGTCATTCTGTTCAACGGACTGATACATGGACATTGAAGGGAAGGAACTTGATGAGTCTGTGTCCCACTCCACCACCATTCAAAGTGTGCGGCAAAACTTCTCTCAGGAAAGAAGGGAAGTCTCAGACCGAGGAGGGCCGCTTCAGAACATTTCAGAGAAACCTGAGCCTGGGCTTGGAAGTGGTGGACATAGCTTTTAATCCCAGCACTTGACAGGTGGAGGCAGGTCCATCTCTGCAAGCCAGTCTGGTCTAGCTAATGAGTTCCAGGCCAGCCAGGGCTACGTAGTGAAACTGTCTCAAAACAAACAACTTCATTCTAATAGATATGTATTTTTAAAAAGAACAAAATTTTATCTTGCTGAAGTGTCCAAATGGTATCCAGTTTGGGCACCTCTTTAGGTTTTATATTTTTTCAGCAATTCATTTTTTAATGTAAAGATTTTATTTATTTATTTATTTATTTATTTATTTATTTATTTATTTATTTATTTATTTATTTATTTATTTGATTTTTCGAGACAGGGTTTCTCTGTGTAGCTTTGTGCCTTTCCTGGAACTCACTTGGTAATTTTTAATTAGTATATGCATGTCTGTCTGTCTGAGGGTATGTGTGTGTGTGTGTGTGTGTGTGTGTGTGTGTGTGTGTGTGTGTGTGTGAGGGTAGGTGCCCAAGAGGCCAGAAGAGGGCTTTAGATCCCTTGGAGCTGGAGTTACAGGTGGCTGTGTCCACTGAGTGTTGGGAACCAAACTCGAATCCTCTAGAAGAAGCCGCAAGTGCTCTTAACAGCCGAGTCATTTCTTCCGCCCCTTAATTTTTTATTTTATATTTTCAAAGCATTGCGTTGCAACAGACTCGGAAACAGCCGGGGCCTCCCTTAACTATTAGTTTCAAAAGCACCGACTTTGGCACCAGAGACATCTTGAAGTCAGCTAAGAGGCAACTGAGAGAGAAGAGGACCTGCCCCATCTGCACTGTTCGCAGATGTCAGGGAGGAATCGCAAGCAGTGAGACAGCAGCATTGCTTTATTACCCTAGTCCAGAAGTCCCCTACCCCAGCCCTGCATGGCGGCGGGCAGAGGCTGCACTTCCCGCGCCGCCGCCGCCCTGCACTCAGCCCCGCGCCGCCCGCGCCGCCCGCGCCGCCTGCCTCCTGCCGTAGCGCAGGCCGAAGGAGTTCCAGTTGTAGGCTGACAGGTCCTTCTCCCGCTGCACTAGCACCGCCCCGCGGGGTGCGGGGATCAGGCGACTGCGAGCCGCGGCGCACAGAGGCCGCTGGCGCCCCGCGGAGCTCTCCACCGGTGGGCACGGCGAGGTCCTGCGAGCTCGCAGCCCTGCAACCCCAGGTTTCCTCTCTGCGCACCGCGGGCCCTTTTCCCAGGCATTGATGAGTTCCTGGGGTCCCGGCTGCTGGCCTAGGACAGAGAGCACAGGCAAGTGAGGCTGGGGCAGCAAGGCTTGCTTTGGACACAGGCTCAGACCTCCCGAGGCTGGCCCTGGGTCCTCAACCTCAGAAGCTGGGCTCTGACCTCAGTGTGGAGCCAAAGTGCTACTTTATTAGAGCGATTGGGATGTTTGCCCCTCCCCTCTCCTCCAATAGCTTCTCTTTCAAGTGCTTGCCAAAATTCTCCGAAACAACTTGATTAAACTACCTCCTTTGAGGAAGCAGAGAGTTTGGAAATCAAGAAAACCAAAGTATGTAGGGGGGGGGGGCACTCTGCTCTGTCCGTCTTCTGGGCTCTCCGCCTGGTCCCTCAGCTGAGTGTCTGCATCTGGGGTTTGAGTGGCCCAGGAGCACCTGGGGCGCAGGGGAGGGAGGGGAATCCATTTATCTTTCAGAATGCTTGAAACAGTACGTCGCACATAGTAGGGCCTCAATAAGTGCTCATTAAATAAAAGCTAATGAAAAAGTTGGAGTAACGGAAATCAATCAAGTGGAGCCAAGGCCATTGTGCCCCCCCCCCCCACCTGTGACCTGACCCTGGTCGCTGAGGACAATTGCAAACCTCCACATTCAGTATCAAGACTCGGTGATGACCAGACATTATCTACCTACCTTGCCCTTGCAGGCACAACTCCCCCAGGCGGGTGCAATGCCTTCTCTTCCTGCTGGAGGCTAACAAGGCTCACTCTGGAAACACTTCACAGACCAGGCTCATTAAACTCTCTCTCTCTCTCTCTCTCTCTCTCTCTCTCTCTCCCCCCCACCTCCTTCCCTCTCTCCCTCCCTCTCTCTCTTTGGCAGTAAAACAGGGGCAAGTAGCTCAGAGCACACAATGAGTCTAGTCAATTATAGCGAGTTAGTAGCAACGAGGCCTGGTGTGAGTGGGTGTTGGGGCGGAGGATGGCATTGAGCTTGGCTCCTCGAGTGTGGCCATGGTCCAAGATTAATAATAACCATCTGGGAGGCCTCTCCTACCTTCTCTGGGTAACTGGTGTGGGAGAGATCTCAGTTCCATACACAGGATATACTGTGTGGCCAGACAGAGCCAATAGCCAATGTCCCTGGACAGTGGTGGGGTTATTCCTTGCCCTGGAATGATGACACCGTTGGTGAGGTATCTGGGGCCCTGTTCCCTTTGATTTGGTTATGTACAGTGATGTCAGATTCGCAGGGGGTGTCCTGCATTCCATGCCTGAGATCTGAGGTCCAGAGAGGCTGAGCAAGCTCTAATATGTACAGAAAGCAGACCACCAAGGATAATTCAAACTCATGCTGTGACTCAGCAGCCATGCTCTTGGGGTACCCCGGCACCTGCTGGGATTCGTCAGCATTTGGCTGAATAACTTGGGGGTACAGTGCCTCTATGGACTTCAGTTTCCCGGAGCTCATCAGTTCCCCCGGTGAACTCAGGAGGTTGATAGGCGTCAAGGTCTGTCTGTTGAGGTTTTTGTTTCTCATTGTTTTGTTTTCAACCCCCCTTAAGGGATGTGAGGTCACAGATAAAAGTCGCTTACACATTCAGCTCCTTCCCAGCCTCCACACAGAGAAGTGCTTGGGATAGAGCAGAGAGCACAGCAGGAGACCGTCACAAAGCGGCTGGGGTTAATAGGCTCCTGAGCCTCCCGTGCTCACAGCAGACGGGACCAGGGCCAGCCCCAGCTATCCACGAAGTGCCGTCATTAAACTCCTGTCAGCTGCCTGGCTACGGTCTGAGAAATAGGCTAAGTCTCATGTGCAATGACTCTCGCGCCCCTCTTCCTGGACCGTGCGTACCTGTGGGTCCAGGTGCCACCTTTGCCGGCGGCTCCCCAAAGGTGGGGACACAGAGGAGAAGCAGCAGCTGCCAAGAAGCCAATGAGGTCATTCTGGCAGGAAGAGGCAGGTCCACAAGGTGTCCAGAGGCTGAGTGAGACAGAGAGAGGCAATAAAGACCAGGTCAGAGTTAGCAGTGTGCCAGAGCCTAGGTCGGAGAGAGATCCTGGGGGGAGGAGAAAAGCCCTGTGACCAGAGATGACCTGTGGAGGGATAAACCTGAAACAAGGCCACAGGGACCAGGACTGAAGGAGCGAGGGAGGAAGGGAGGACGGACGGACGGACGGACGGACGGACGGATGAAAAGGAAGGGTCAGATTTGGTGGAAGGAGTGAGCTGTTTATGCTGGACAATGGGGAGTAGGGGGTTGTGGGTCGTAGGTTTGCTGGAGAAGGATGTAGGTGCCATGCTCGGGGGTGACCAGGGAGGGGAGGTAGATGAGGTCACGCAGGAGTGTGCTCTGAGGTTCAACTATTCTCTTGGGAGTCTAGGATCAAGCCCTTCTCCCTTTTGTGCTGGGGTCCGTGCAAATATGCTTTATGTGCTCAGCTCTCCCAGGTAGGACATGCCTTCCTCAGTCTGGCCCTGGCCCTGCTGCTATAATAGAAACCCAATTCCGTATCTCTTCCAGGAAAAAAGGAAGAAAGAGGCAATCATCTTGCACATTCTCAAAGCTCTCCGCAGCCTTGGAGACCATCACCAAATTGTCTTATTGCCTATAATTCAGGACGGGAAAAGCCTTTCTCTCGTCTAGCCCATCAGTTGCCTCTATTCTCATGGGCTCTGGGAGGTCGTCAGCTAAATTGGCCTCATCCGTTTGACTGCTGAGATAGGAGCTGTGCAGCCTGACCCTCATCTAGCCTCTCCGCCTCTCTCCTCCCCTGCTCCCCATTCCACCCCACTTCTCCAGCTCGCAAGTCCAATTTCCCTTTGAAGAAGTCATCAGGCACTTTGAAACTGTCCCACAAATGGGTCCTTACAAAGTGCCCAGGAGGCTGGTGCCACAGCAGGTTGAACCTGGGCTTCTGTCGAAGGACGGGGTGAGGAGTGTCATTGTGACCAAGTGTTAGGAGTGGTTTCTCAGCACCATGCATCCCGCCACTATGCCCCCTACAACCGCCCCACCCCACCCCCAGTCCAACTGCAGACTCACTCATGGTGCGGAGGGTAAGAATCCTGACTTGAAATACTCCAACTTTTCCCTCATCCCATGAATCCTGAGTAGGCCACGCCCATCTCTAGGCCACCAGCTGCCTGATCAGATGGCTACTAAGACTGATTCTGTGACACCCTGAAAGCCAGATACATTCTGCAGCTGCCCTAAGGCCTGAATAGAACATGGAGTAGAGACCAAATCCACTAGGAAGAGCCTTAGTTCTAAGGGCTAGTGTTTGGAAGGCACTGCCGGGAATGACAGACTAGGACTGTGCTAGGTGCTGGGGTGCTGAGGGTGCCGACCCAGGGTACTGCTGATCTCAAGCCTAGTGTAAGAAGTTGACTCGTAGGCACCTTAGACAAGTGGATCATTTCAAAACAACACCAGACACATGTTAAAACGCAGGGAAGCCCAACCTGGAGGCTCCAGGCGGTGGCGGCACCTGAGCAAGCGTGTGCCAGATTCCCACCTCAGGGGATCTGTCTGGACTGGCGCCAGGGTGCTGGACCGGTAGGCAGGGCTGGGTATAGGGGCTGCTGGATACAAAGCTAGAGCTTCATACGGAGAGAAAACCATCCCAAGTTCTATCCCAAAGGGGCCTGAGGAAGGCAGGAATGTATGTGCTCTGAAGATGGGGCCTCCTGGCTTCTCTGAACAGAGCAGGGGGGGAGGTGAGGAAGTGGGGGAGGGGTTATCAGGCGGGAGGTTGGTGATCCTGATGTCCGTCCCTGTAGTACTCCGTCCCATCATGGACAGCACTTCCCGTGTGTACCATGGGAGAACTCTGCCGGCCCCCAACACGACCTCACCCCACATATACACACATACCACACACAAACCACACACCAACGCACTAACATCCGACATGGGCCTGGTGAGATGGCTCGGCAGATAAATGTGCTGGCCATCAAGCTTGACAATCTGAGTCTGACCCCCGGGGCCCACGTGATGAAAGGGGAATACCAACTCCCCAAAGGTGCCCTCTTGACTTCCACATGTGCACTCTGCTCACACACGTGCACAGCAAAATAAATAAATAATACTACATACATAAAATAATGTACAACACATTACCCCGAATACATACCACAGACACCCCAGACCCTGATAACTCTTAATTAACTGCTTAGTCCACAGGGCACATGATGTGTGCAGTAGAATTAAACTGTTTGAAAATCAACAAGAACACACACACACACACACACACACACACCACGGGCCAGCGTATTTTATTCAGCCAGGCATTCCAGGATCATTTGGCCAGCCTGTCAATCAGGAGTGATCAGTGCTTCAACTGGCCTTGGGTTGAAGGTCTGCTTCCCCAGACCCTCCCCGGGTCCGGGCAGTCCTGCATCCTGTCAGCAGGGTACCTACCTTGGCTGGGTTCTGGCTTGAGGGCTGGAGGGAGAATTGCCACTTGGGTAGTTGGAACACACCAAGAGAAGCCACTGGCTCCCGGGTTCACTCTCTCTGGCTCCCTGATCACAGCCCCTTTTATGAAGTCTAGGTGGGTGACGTCTCCAGGCACAATCCCACCTCTGCCCTCCCAGACCCTCCTCGGAACTCCACGCCCCGCCGCTGGCTTCCGCCTCCTGGCTGGAGCCATCCATTTGCTCGCCCCCAGCAACCGTCCAAGGCTGCTCTCACAAGCTCACTAATTCTTCCATCATCTCCATCCTCTTGACACCCGCTCCCTTGCAGCTGGAGACTCATTCTGCCCCAAACAATGAAGAGAAAGTGACTGAGGAGTGTGTGTGAAATGTCTTGTCCCTCTCTGCCAACACACACACACACACACACACACACACACACACACACACACACACACACACAAAGTGAATAAAAGACACAGGCTGGAGGAGGAGGGGAAGGGCACAGCCTGACCCAGAGGCTCCTCAATGCCCACATGCTGCCCTCTCAGAGAGAAAGCCAGGTCAGATCGGCCTCCGTCAGGGGTGGCTCCTGTGCTGTGAATTGAGAGTGGGGGCGGGGCTGGGGGGGGTCTCCTCTCCTCCTTTTCCCCTTAATTCCTGAGCTCCTGCATGACATGTTGTGTGACATGCATGAGCTAGGGCATGGTCAGATGTGCCGGACAGTTATGTAGGCAGCAGGCTGTAAGGAAGGAGAGTAAAGCTGGCCCTAGCGGCCCATCCATGGAATTCTACCTCCTGGGTGCCTGAGGCAGAAGGATGGTAAGTCTGAAGTCAGTCTGGGATGTGCAGAGAGTTCCAAGCCAGGCTGGGTGACAGAGTTGAGATATTGTCTCAAAAAATCAAAACGTGGCCGGCATAGTGGCACATCCACCCCCAGCACTTGGGTGGCAGAGGCAGCTGGACCTACGAGTTTGCAGACAGCCTGTTCTACGTGGTGAGACCTTGCCCCGCCCCCACTCCCAAATTATAATAATACTTCAGAAGGAAGAGAGGGAGAGGGCATACCTATTTTGTACTTGATGCTGCCAAGCTGGCCTTGAGAAAGCAGATTCGGAGAGTGGGCGGCACTGGGTGCCTGAAGGGCGAGGGCAGCCTCCATTGGTACCCCCTAGCACCTACTCCGCTGCCAGGCAAATAGAGGAAGGAGCTCAATGGATGCTCACCATGACTCTGATCCCCCCCTTCTTCCCTTAAGGGTTTTGTTGTTTGTTTGTTTGTTATTTTATTTTAGACAGAGTCTCACTGCAGCCTTGGCTGACCTTGAACCCACAAGAGATCCGTTTGATTCCGCTTCCCAAGTACTGGGATTCAAAGTGTGTGCCACCAAAGCCTGGCCTGTGCCTTTCTTCAGTCTACTCCTTTTAAGCCTGGATGGTGCATCATATATATAATCCCTAATATATATAATCAGACACTTGAAGCAGGATGATCGAGAGTTCCAGGCCAACCTTGTCTCAGAAAAACAAAACAAAGAAAAACTCTTTTACCATGAGACAAGGGGCTTCCCCAGAACAAGGACCAGCTTGGCTGTGAGGCTGGATTCTCTGAAGGCAATGGCACCATCCACCCCCAAACAGAAGGTGGTTTCTGCACCAACTCTACCTGCTGTGTCCTGTGTCCTGTGTGGAGTGGCCACCTCGGGCTGAGATACTCTTCCTGGTGCGGTGTGGGTTAGTTTCCATTGCTTGCCTAATGTTAACTGAAGCTTAGAATCATATCAGACCCTTTAGGATGTTAAATACCAGCATGAAAATTATACCAATTGCAGGGTCTGACTCTTAGAGGTTGCAATTATACCTTATAGTGTCAGGGTGGGAAGTGATTGCAAATACAACCTAGGGCTGGACTGGATACCCTGGACTGGAGACATCAACCCCAAATCTCAGACACATTCACAGCTTGAGAATTTAATCTTCACTCCCCTGTATAAATTCGGGTTGGGAAAGTTGCTTCCAGCCTCCGCTGGGTGTCAAGGTCAGGATCTCTACTCCTGGCAGCGTCTTGAGATAACTTGGGGGTTTAAGATCAATCAGTTCCATCTTCCCGAGTGTGATGGGAAGTAAGTCAGTGCTGGGGAGGGGGGCTCATGAGAATAACCCCCATTCCACTTCCAGCCCCTCCACCAACCATCCAAGTTCAAGGAGCGCATCTCGACGGTTCAGACCATTGAGCTGGAGCCTTGAAATTTCTGCGACAGCTGTGGGAGCCAAGAATCATTATTCCAGACAAAGAGTGGGAAGCAGACTCAATATCCAGGCTATTACCCAGCTGGCCTTGAGATGCGGGGCTATGCTGCACTACACGTGGCCAGTGGCGGTGGGGTGTGCCCAGCTGGCAGGCGCTGCAAGATGTGGGGTTCTGGTCCCCTTCCTGGGTGTCTCAGTGTGCATGTCAGGCATTTCAGAGGTAGGTGTGGGCCCAGAACAGGCTCCACTCCCTGCTTTACCTGATGTCACCAGCTGTTGTACATGCCCATGGCCCAGACTTAATCACGTGTCCCAGAAGCACACAGTGTCTGGGTCACCTAGAGTTTTCATTTCTTGGGCTGGGGAGCTGTTCATGACTGCCTCCTCCCCACCCACACCTTAGCCACTCCAGCCTACAGGGCCCTCGCTTTGGATCTTATCAAGTGGAGAAGGAGCAGGGAGGGGAGGGCAGTGAACCTGGGGTGGGTGTGTCTCAGAGGGTATGGGTGGGGCAGGGTAAGGCAAGGGGTCTGCTGCACTTAGGAGGCCACTTTAACCTGTTCCGTGCCCTCTCCCACCCCAGACACCACTGCCAAGCCCAGACTCCATCTACTCACGGTGCTCAGGAAGGGGATGTTAGAAACACTGCCCAGGAATCCAAAGGCCACAGGGAAAAAGCCCCTAGGAATGGAAGAGAGGACCGGGGTCAGTGGTGGCCCAGGAGGGGAGGAGGAAGGTAGTAAGGCTGATGTCCCCTACTCAAAGGCTCAGACTTTGGCTCCTGGGAGAGCAGCCCTTGGGCCCTGGGGACAGACATGTTCTGGGGTCTGTTGAAAGAAGCAGCAGAGTAAAGTGACCGAGAACCTCGGGCTGAGCTCAGGGGTCTTACAGACGCATAGTGGCTCTGCCTCTCACTGACACTGTACACTCTGAACAAATCCCTGAACAAATTCTCTGAACCCATGGCCAGTCTTCAAATGTGCTTAGCAGTATTGGTACCTACGTCATAGGGCCTCACAAACAGCCAAGCTCAAAGGGCATTTTTGTGAGTTACGCTCATGATTATTTATCCTGGCCTGATGCCCTCTCTTTGCTAGATGGGGTGGGGAACATCTGCACTAGTGGCTAAGCCCCTGGCATGGATGGCGGCTGGAGGTTGTGTTCATGTGGGCACAGCCTTGTGTCTCAGCATCCCCCTGCCGCCGAGGCTTCCTTCGCTTTTCAAGCTGGCCAGGCCTGATGGCATGGATGCCTGATGGTTCACAGGGCCTGGAGGCAGCCAGGCTGGGAAGTGAACCCCTAGTGTCCTGGATGAATAAGGAGATTCAGAGATTTGAATCTTGGCCAGGCCATTGCTCCCTAAACCCCAGTATACTGAGGCCGAGGGAGATGGTACTCACTTGAAGAGGCTAACAAATCCGTAGGCCTCCAGGAGCATGCCCAGCAGCGGCCAGCGCAGCAACACGATGGCTACACCCCCCAGGAAGAAGCTGGTCCCCTTGAGCTTGTGTCGTTGAAAGAAGAAGGAAAACGTCCTCCTCAGGCCGATGATGAGGGAGAGGCCGGTCAGGAACAGCAGCTGCAGGCCCAGGGGAGTGAGGACAGGGAGAGCAAGTTCCACCCCATCCCCGGGGCTCGGTGTGTGTGTGTGTGGTGTGTGGTGTGTGTCTCGGGGTGTACGTGTGTGTGTGTGTGTGATGGTGTGTGTGTGTGGGGGGGGGGTGTCACGGTATGTATGTGTCTCCGTGTGTGTGTGTGTGTGTGTGTGCGTGTGTGTGTGTGTGTGTGATGGTGTGTATGTGTGTGTAATGGTGTGTGTGCGTGTCCGGGGTGTGTGTGTGTGTGTGTGTGTGTGTGTGTGTGTGTGTGTGTCACGGTGTGTGTGTGTGTCACGGTATGTATGTGTCTCCGTGTGTGTGTGTGTGTGTGTGTGTGTGTGTGTGTGTGTGTGTGATGGTGTGTATGTGTGTGTAATGGTGTGTGTACGTGTCCGGGGTGTGTGTGTGTGTGTGTCCCAGGAGTGGGGCAGAATCCCAGAGCTAGAAATGACTCTATCTAGTAGAGAATAGAAATGTCCTAAGGCGGAGGGATGGACTTGAAGGTCTTTCGCTTCCCACTCAGTTCCTCAGCTCCAAGCTCCTCATATAGACCCCCCGGGGAGGCTGCTGTGGAGTGAGATCCTCTCCTTTTACAGACAAGATGTTGGTACCCAAAGTCCCTGAAAGGTGACCCCTGTGTGGTTCTGCCAGGGCCTTCAACATGGTTCCTAGTGGTCACTTTATGGGCCCAGGCTCCCACAGAATTGAACTCTTCCTTCTAGCAGTCCCTTGCCCCACCCACACCTCCCCCATGCCTTTTCTTTCAACGTCCCAACCACTCCATTTCCTTCCCAGCTGTCTTTGGTCCACTCCTTCCTCTCAGTCCTTGTTTCATAACGAAGCATTCACCTTACTCTGGCTTTCCTCACAGCCTCTGCTGCCGTGGAGGCGTGGGTTACATCCTTGTCCCTAAATGCAGGGATTCAGTGGTGGGGACAGGGTCTAATTCACCATGGGACCACCAGGACCTCACCTAGAGCTTGGTGTAATCATTTCAGGTTCTCCGTGTCCACAGACCCTGCTGTCGTCCGCCCCCCACCAAGTCCTCATCCCCCCTGAACAACGATGATCTGAATGAACTCGGGGCTGACCCTCCTGGCCATCAAGGAGTGGTACCTAGTGCCGGGGGACTCACATTGCCGAAAGCCAGGAGTACGGAGTCGAAGTACAGGAGTATCCCAAAGAGGATGAAGAAGACGCCGAAGCCGGTGATGCCCACACCAATCTCTGCAAGAAGCAAGGCGAGCTCATGGGTCATGTGTAGGCTCTCAGGGGGAGGAAGATGGGCAGGAGCTGTTGGGTTCCTGGGAAGCTTGGCCCTCACATTTTGTCAGGGCAGCTTCTCCCTGTGCCTGCAGCAAGTTGTTCTCAGGATTGACCCTCCGACAGAACTCAATCACCTGCCTATTCTTTCCTGCGGCTGAGAGCTCTGGGGCCGTACCCAGCGAGGAGAGAGAAGTGCCTGAAAGCTCGAGACTGTGAGCTCCAGGCCCTGGCTGGCTCCCGGATTCCTCTGTGCCCTCTCCTCTCTCCTCAGCCCTCAGTGCTGACCTGCCCCAAGTGACTGGGAAAATAGAAGCCATCAGTTAGGAAGACGCTCACCTATCCTGGGGGGCGGGGGCTAGGTGCCCCCTCACCCTCTAGTCTCCTCTAACTTCAACTCAGTGGAGTCATTGGCTGCCAGGGTCGACCGCCACTAACAGTGTCCCTACCCATTAGCAATGTCCTGTGGGTGTCATCGAAGAGCACTGAAGAGCACGGGAGTTAACAAAACCAATGAGCAGCAGGCGAAAGTGTGGGGCACTTAGGGCATCTGATTAGTCAAGGGCTGTACTCTGGCCTGTGGTGTGTACTTCCGACCATTTTCTTCAGAAATAATGGACAGGACACGTGGTTGTTTGGTCTGAAGTCCGTCTCATCTCATATGGAAATGTGAATTTGACTCTCTGCCACTGTGATAGGCAACAAATGACCGTTCATTATGTTGCTTTTTTTTTTTTAGGCTAAATTAAAAATTGGACTGGAGAGATGGCTCAGAGATTAAGAACACTGGTTGCTCTTCCAGAGGACTCGGGTTCAGTTCCCAGCACCCACATGGCAGCTCACCACTGTCTGTAACTCCAGCTCCAGGGGATCTGACACCCTCACACAGACATACAGACAGCCAGAAAAACAATGGACAGAAAATAAAAATAAAGAAAATAAAACATAAAAAAGTTACTTCCATTTGAAGTGCCATTAAACACACACACACACACACACACACACACACACACACACACACACACACACCCCTCTTTGAGATCCTGGTTTCAAAGCTGAGCATGTCAATGCAGGTCTGTAGTATCCCAGTATTTGGGAGGTGGAGGCAGGAGAATCATGAGTCCATATCATCCTTGTCTATTTGAGATCATGGTGGGCTACAGAGCACCCATCTCAACAAACAAACAAATAAAAATATCCTGCTTTCAGATCTCTTGGTTTATATCCAGAAGTGGGGTTTCTGGGCCACATGCTAATTTCTCTCGCTGACATTTGAGAAGCTACAGAGCTATTTTCCAGAGTGGCTCGTTCCTTTCCCTTTCCTGTCCCCAGGGCACGAGACATCCCACATCCTTGGCAAAACTTGATTTAAAAAATATTTTTAGTTTTATTTTCATTTATGTGTATGTATGTGTGTCTGTGTGTTGTGTGTTTGCATGTCATGTGTGTGGGTGCTTGCAGAGGCCAGAAGAGGCTGTCAGGTACCCTGAAGCTGGAGTCCCAGGCAGTTATGAGCCTCCTGGTATAGGGGCTCGGACATGGGTCCTCTGGAAGAGCAGCGAACACTCTTAACTGCTGAGCCATCCCACCAACCCCAATTTTTTTTTTTTTTTTTTTTTTTTTTTTTTTTTTTTGGTTTTTTGAGACAGGGTTTCTCTGTGTAGCTTTGCGCCTTTCCTGGAACTCACTTGGTAGCCCAGGCTGGCCTCGAATTCACAGAGATCCGCCTGCCTCTGCCTCCCGAGTGCTGGGATTAAAGGCGTGCGCCACCACCGCCTGGCCCCCAACCCCAATTTTAATGTTTTTGATAGCAGCCATGCTCACAATCTCATATCACACTGTGATTTTGTTTGTTTGTTTGTTTGTTTGTTTTTTGAGGTGGGATCTCAGGTTTCTGACAGGCCTTCATGATATGTCTGTGCTTAATGCCTCCTTCCATGCCCAATAGTTCTGGCCCAAATTAAACTTCTTAGCACCAGGGACAGCTTGGCAGAATACAATACCCTTGGGGCCATAGAATTGCTGTGTTCTATTTCCACAATGTATGATGTTTCTACCCTAGGAGATAAGGTATCCACCCACTACAGCTTTGCAGATGGGAGCTTTGTGGAAGACTGTACCACATTTCTTTAATGTGAATGATAAAGATGCTTGGGATTTGTTGCAGTAGTGAGAGTTGAATCCAGGGCTGTACTCCACATGATAGACAAGTGTTCTATGCTAGTGCTGCATCCAACTTCCTCCCCAAATCAGGGTCATGGTTTGTAGCCTAGGTTGGCCTTAAACTTGCAATCTTCCCATCTCAGCCTTCTGCATAGCTGGGAAGGCATGCTTTAAGTTCGTGTACTTGTTATAAAATATTATATATAATGTTATACAAATATACTATCAGTTGGGTATGGTGGAGCACGCCTTTAATCCCAGCACTCGGGAGGCAGAGGCAGGCAGATCTCTGTGGATTACAGGCTGGTGTACAGAGTGAGTTCCAGAACAGCCAGGGCTACACAGAGAGACTCTGCCTGAAAACAATAACAACAAGAGTCTGCTATCTCCTTACACTGGCCAGAAAAAGATACATCATGACTCCAGTCTCATAAGATACCCTTCCCTCTACGTGGGATATGAACATGGTTTTGCTATTTGTTTTGTACTGTTAAAATATCTGTATGCCCGTCCTGTGCACCCTTGTGAACAGACTCGGGTTTGTTTGTTTGTCTTGCAAAGAACCTAAGTTTCTCAGATTTGCTTTGTATGTCTTTCTGGAAGGACAGCAGAGCCTGGCTCTCCGGTCCACACACTCTGACCGTGATTCACTGCTGCTTGCTTTCTTAGAGAAAGAGGAACTTGAGTCAGGAGGCCACGAGAGGCTTTTAGACGTGGAGCCGTCCTCATGGAAGCGGAGGCCAGGAGTGATGGGATTGATTACACTAACCAGCCACAGCAGTGGCCCTCTTCTCACCCCCTGAGTGAGCCCGAAGATGTGTGCTGATGTCATTAGAGGCACCCAGGACCATTTTGGGTCCCTATCAAGATTCTGAGAACCAATATGAGGACACTCCTTGTGGCAAGGGTCCTGAGATTGGAAGAATCCAAAGTGACCCACAGGCACAGCCAGATGAGAATTCATGCCCTGCTCAGTGGTGTGTGCCTGCACCTCAGGAGGCCAAGGCAGGAGGATTGTGAGTTCAAGATCAGCTTGGGCTACAGAGTGAAATGCTGATACAATGTCCAGTGTGGTGGTGCATGCCGCAACCCCAGCCTTAGGAGGCAAAGGTCGAGAGTTACGCAGGTCTGAGATCAGTCTGAGCTATAGAGTGAAACTTTGTCTCAAAAAACCTAAACCAACCAACCAAATACTCTCGGCATCTTCTCATATATGCACTACAATTACTTAGGAGATTTTGAGATTTACTGCTACTTTGTAGCCCAGGAATGTCCCCCTGCCTCAGCCTCCCCAGTGCTGGGATTACAGGTGTCTCCCACTGAGTGCAGCTCATTTTTTGGTTAGACTTTTCAAACAGTGATTTGTACCATGCTCAGGTTTGTTCTGTGCTCTTCTTCACAGGTTGGTGCAGTTCCAGAATTTTCCTCTGTTGGGATCAGCCTTTTTAAAAAGGCTACCTTTAGTTGCTTCTGGCATTCAGCGTCACACACAAGCTCACAAACACGTGTCAGGAAGTGTGTTTTCCCACACACGGCTTCAAAACGTCCCCCATTTTTTGCTCCTGCTATAGTTCAGTGATTCAGTCAAATCTGGGGAGGGGGGCTTGCATCTGAAGTTCCTTTCAGGATAGCAGCCATGCAGAGAAGACAGTGCATTTGGGTGGGCATGTCATACAGATAGATACACAGGCATGCCAGACGCGCTCGCAGGTGATCATGCATGATCCAGACAGAGGTCACAGTGCGCCCCCTGCTGCAGAAGTCACAAAGCAGCAAGCAGAGAGTAAGGCCTGGCTCCAGGGCACTACAGAGCAAGGGTAGAGACCTCCCCTGGCTTCAGATTGTCCAGTTTTGGGTCTCTCTACGTCCAGTGTCATCTCCAGTCTGAGTCTCAACTCTCCAGCCTCAGGCCCTTAGGTCCCGAAGTTCCCAAACTGTTGCCGGAAGGAGCCCCCAGCCTGCAGCCCTTGGGGACAGGCCAAAGCCAGGTGACCAAGGCACAGCTTTTCAGAATGCAAAGCCAGCTTCAGTGTCTTTTTTTTTTTTTTCTACAGGGCATTGTCTTCTGGGGCAGGTGGATAGGTCTCTTTGGCCCACGCCTGTGTAAGGAGTAATCTATCAATTGTTTCTCAAATTCCTCATTCTTCTTCTCCAATTCCTGTGATCTTCCTGCCTCAGCCTTCCAAGTAGCTAGGGCTACAAGTGTGAGACAGCTGTGGTCCTTTTCTTTTTACAGTCATGAATGTACCAAAATTTCTAAGTACTCTATTAAGACTCTTGGGTCCTCACCTACTTGCAAGTAGGTGTCACCCCTGAGCTATTAGGAGTGTCCTTCCCTTCCCCTTCAGACAGACAAGATACAGATGTGGAACAGAAAACGAACACATGTGTTTCTATCGTCTAGCCCTCAGACCCCACTCAAGCTTTACCCGTGCGTGCCCGTGACAACATTCATAGGAAAAGAACACCGCTCATCAGCACGTGCCATCTTTAAAGACGTGTGCCTGTCTGGAATATTTCCACAATCGGTACTCAACATGACCTTGACCTTTGGAAGATGCAGGCCAGTTATTTTGTAGGTGGTCCCTTCATAGGGTGTGTCTAAGACTTTCTCTTGACAAGAATTCACTGGCAGAGCTACCGGCCAGATGTTACCGTGTACACTTACGGCAGCCTGGGGGCGAATCTGCTTCTAGCCTGGTTACCTCCGATGAAGTACCTTTACTCTTCAGGTGACACAGTGGACCCTCCTGTATAAGAGCCCTGCCTCTACCCCATGGGAACACCCTCCTCACCCCATCTTGGCTACCTGCTCTGCCCACAGGCTGGGGCTCTCGCACCCCACTTTGAGTACCCCTTCCTGTTCTGTCAAATGACTTTCAGACAGGACAGTTGGAGAAGAAGAAGGGAGTTGACAATAGTGGTGGATAGCTGGTGCTCATGCCATATCGGGCACAGGTCACATCTTAACTTGACATAACCATTTGAAGGGGCTGCGGTTAACTGCACGTCACAAACCAAACTGAACCCTGAGGGGGTACACTGCCCACCTAGGCCTTGAATCCAGTGGAAACTCTGAAATGTGGCATTAGCCATTTTTGCACAAAGTGTTCTTGCTTTGGCCATTAATAACCTTCAGGTAACCAAATCTCCAAGCAGGTGTCCGTCCTTGGCAGTGAACAGCAGGCCACCCCCTGGTTGAAATCTCCTCTCCTGACTCCCAGGATTCTTTCTGATTTTCTTCCGGTTGGCTAGCAGTCTCGCACTTCCAGTGACCCCCGCCAGCACCTACTTTCTTTCTTTTATGATTTGGCTCGCTCAGGGTTTGGGCCCAGCTCCTGTCTCTCCTCACTCTGTGTTCACACGCCTTCCTGTGTTTTTAAATGCTGCCTGTGTGCCGACAATGTCTACATTTATCTCTCTCGCCCAGGACGCACGCGATCCCACTGCTTGCTTGGCTGTTGGCTTGCTTTTCTCTCTGGCACTCTGCATGCCGCTGGTCCCAAGCTGCGATCAGCCTTCCTTTCTTTATCCTGCACCTCCTGTGAGAGCCGCTCCACTGCCACTGTCTGCCAAGTCAGCTGAGGCGGCTGCCACCCTCCTGTCTAATCCACGCGTAAGTCTCAGGCAGCTGCTTCCAGAAGCATCCAAAAACTGCCACGCTTAGCCACCCTCTTCTCTCTCCTGGACACCCCTCTTCCCCCGCCCCACCCCCTGCACAGCCTCCGTTAGTCACGTTTCCTGCTTTTCACTACGCCCATCTCCAACCCTCTTCCATACAATGCTCAAGGACTGAAAACGGACCAACCGACCATATAGCATCCTGATCATTCCACTCACTTGGAATGAATCAGGGACCCTTTTCTATATGTGCATTTTCTATATGTGCATTCATTATAGATCCTGTGGGGGGAGGGGGAGCTCAAACTTCTCCTTCCACTTTGTCTCAAGCCCACCACACTGCTCTTACAGCCTTTGACTTTCTATGATGCCCATACTTTCCTGCCCCAGGACCTTGGTGTATGAGGTTTCTTGGTGTGGAACACTCTCCTCATGGTTTTAAATGCCAGCTCCTCAGGGAAGCCTGTCCCCAGCCTCTGTGCTCTGGCATCAATCTGGTTCTGTCATTTCTCTCTCTCACAGGACTAAGCATCGTTCTTCACAGGACTTGTCACAGTTAGTAAGAGCGTGTTATCACACTTGAAGGCTGATGAGCTTAATAACACGTCAGCATGCCAGTGGGCTCAGGAATCCCGGGATCCCTGGGTTGCAAGGTGGGCATGCTGAGGGGGCAGTTTTGAGGAGGTATGGGATGATGTGGAGATACTT